GCTTCCCCCTCCCGCCCCCTCAGCTTCACCATCACCCCCTCGCCAGCCTCTCCCCTCTGCCTCAGTCTGCCGGGAGGCCGCATCCCTGTGCGAGACACTCAGCGCTGCGCAGGATACGGCCCTGGACATGGCCCCCGAGCTCACACGGGCCGTCACCAACGTGGTCTGCTCCCTCTGCTTCAACTCCTCATACCGGCGCGGGGACCCCGAGTTCGAGGCCATGCTGGAGTACAGCCAGGGCATCGTGGACACTGTGGCCAAGGAGAGCTTGGTGGACATCTTCCCCTGGCTCCAGGTGAGTGGGGACACGAGGACTGCCTGTTCTTCTCACCTCAGATGAGAGGAAAGAGCTGGGATGTGTTCTGCAAGAGGGGGCTACCTGAGTCCTCCAGAGTTAGGAGGGTCTCTGCCCTGGTGTCCCACGGGAGCTGGTACCCTTGTGGGCATGCAGTGACTGCCTGGGGGTCTGTGGAGGCTGGAATGAGCTGGAGCCCCTCACTGTAATGGGGTTTTCTCCCCCAGATCTTCCCCAACAAGGACCTGGCCCTGCTGAAGAGATGCCTTAAGGTCCGGGACCAGCTGCTCCAGCAGAAGTTCACTGAACACAAGGTGCCACTGGGGCCAGGACAAAGAGTTGCTCAGGACCTGTGTGGTGCTGCAGCAGGGGTGGGGGGGACTGTTCCCAGGACAGCCTGGGTGATGCATATCCCCTGGCAGGAAGCATTCTGTGGAGACACTGTGAGGGACCTCATGGATGCCCTCCTGAAAGTGAGGCTCAGCGCCGAGAACAGCAGCTCCCCAGCACCAGGGCTGGAGCTGACGGACGACCACCTCCTCATGACGGTGGGGGACATCTTCGGGGCTGGTGTGGAGACCACCACAACTGTGCTCAAATGGGCTGTGCTCTACCTGCTCCACTACCCTGAGGTAGGGTCTGCACCCCGTGGTGGTGGGCCTGGGCTCCCTCCAGCACCAGCGACATCATGGGGGGCTTTGGGGAAGGCAGGTAGCAAGAGAGATGTCAGGCTTTGGGAATAAGCAGATCAGGCTGTGGACATGTTACTTCTGCCCTGCACAACCTGCCAGGATGTGCTGGTGGTCCAGGGAGCACCCCACTGCCATGGGGAGCCCCCATGCACAGGGCACCGCCCTCCCCAGGCTCCTGCTCCAGCCCTTGCTCCTCTCCCAGGTCCAGAGGAAGATCCAGGAGGAGATGGACCAGAAGATTGGCCTGGCACGTCACCCCCACCTCAGCGACCGCCCGCTGCTGCCCTACCTGGAGGCCACCATCAGTGAAGTGCTGCGCATCCGGCCCGTGTCCCCCCTACTCATCCCACATGTGTCCCTTGCTGACACCAGGTGAGACCTCCTGAGGCGCAGCCAGGACATGGGCTGAGACCCTGGGAGGGAGCAACTGTCTCACTCACATTTTGCCCTGCAGCATCGGGGAGTACTCCATCCCCAAGGGTGCCAGGGTCGTCATCAACCTCTGGTCCGTGCACCACGACGAGAAGGAGTGGGACAAGCCTGAGGAGTTCAACCCCGGTGGGTTGGGTGCTCCCCATCCTTCCTGGGGGGCAGGAGATGGCAGGGTGGATGCAGCAGGAGGGGCTGAACCTGGGGGAGGCTTGGGGGATCCTGCTCTCCCCCAGCTAGGCATTCACCTGCTGGAGGGATACAGGTGTGATGAACTCTGGCAGGTTCAGGCAGAAGGGTCTGATCCCTGCTGACACCAGTGGTGCCCCTTTCCTTGCAGGCCGCTTCCTGGATGAGCGGGGCCAGCACATCCACTCGCCCTCGCCCAGCTACCTGCCCTTTGGGGCTGGGATCCGCGTCTGCCTGGGCGAAGTCTTGGCCAAGATGGAGCTCTTCCTCTTCCTGGCCTGGATGCTGCAGAGGTTCACGCTGGAGTGCCCCCAGGACCAGCCCCTGCCCTCACTGGAGGGCAAGTTTGGCGTTGTGCTGCAGGTGCAGAAGTTCCAGGTGAAGGCCAGGCTGCGGGATGTCTGGCGAGTGGTTTCATGATGGGGACAAGCCCTGGATCCCAGGCAGCGGTAGGGTGGGGTGGGGTGGGATGGGACCGCAGAGGTGGTGTCCTGCCTGCCCCACGGATGCAGGGTGGTCTGGATAAAGCTGTTCCAAACGCAGCACGGCTCCGGCTATTTTCTGGGCAGCGAAGGAGGGCAGGGGGAGGTGTGAGAGTGCCTGAGATATATCACAGAATCACAGAATGTTGGGGAT